ATCAGGGTTTAGGGTTTAGGGTTTAGGGTGTTCAAAAGCATGTCTGATGGGGTGCTTAAGCAAAGCTTGATGGGGCTTTATGACCACTTCAACGGTTTGAGAAACGTTTAATGAGTTTTCAAGTGCTCCGTTTTTGTCGGCGACAGAAAAGCTCGATGAACTATAGAGGGATCCTTGATATGATTGAAGGTAGTGAGGTGCATTCTATAACTACGCGGTAATGCACCCCAGTGCACTCACAGCTACGGGGCTTGAAATCATGAACTCGTGGCTAGGATTTTGGGCGTTGAAGGTTTAAGACTTTTTGGGTTTAGGGCTTAAGGCTTATTATCTGTTGGGGTCCACATTAGGTCTTATGGCTCTCTATGTCTCGAGAATTCATGAGTTTTGCTGTGAGAACCAAAAACTTGTGTGGCTAAAATCTGGTGTTCTTGGCCTTGGTGTTTACGGTCTTTGGGGGTTGGGCTTCTGAGGGCTCCGGGTTCAGGGTCTAGTTCATACTTGGGATAATAATAAAAACTTACCCGTTTCTCTTTAATTCTTGAGTTTATTTAGTTAGAATGCTACCCAACTATGACAAGAAACCTAGAAAAAACAAACCAAAGCCCTAAACCCCAAAGGGTTAGGGCTCAGACTTCAAGGTTGCAGCTCTAGAAAGACAGACGCGCGACGACCAAACGACTCCATTCGTGCGGCAACCTAAGGAAGCCCCTGCTTTCCCAGGTACGGAAGTTATGGGTTTAGGGTTTAGGGCGCAGTCTTATTTGCCAAACCCGAAATCGCAAGCCAGGGACCTTAAGCCTTTTTCGGGCTTAGGGTTCAGAGCTTAATTAGGGCTTAGGGTTTAGGGTTTAAGGGTTTAGGACATTAAACATTACAAGAGGGTCTTGTCGTATTGGTAGTATGCTTATACTAAGGAATCGCAAGGAATAGCATGATCGTATTACTACAAAGCCGGGCCTCTAAACCCTAAACCCGTAACCCCAAACCCTAAACCCTAAACATCCCTAAACCTCAAACCCTCTAAACCCTAAACCCTAAACATCCCTAAACCCTAAACCCTCTAAACCCTAAACCCTGAACCCTAACCCCTGACACCCCCTTTCTTTGTCTTCGGCTGTCGGCCTGAAAGGGCCCAGCTCCGTAGACCCGCAGCGACGCTGCTGCAGATGCCCTGCGGTCGGGTTGGGGTACTTTAAGGATTTAGGGTTTAGGGGCTTTTAGGGTTTACCCGGTTTACCCTAAACTTAAAACCCTACACCCGAAACCCTAAATAATTAGGGCTGTTTTGTTTAGAGCCTCTTTGCCAACTCGAAGAGTCAGAGATCCCTTACGCCTTCATGTAAGGGTTTAGGGATTTTAGGTCTTAGGGTCGGGGGGGGGGGGGGGGGGGGGGTTTGGGTTTTAAGGTTTAGGGTTACTGCTCTAGTATTTATAGTCGTATACCCCCAAACCCTACTGTGATCAGTAAGGCTCCCATGGGGCTTTGGGTTTAGAGTTTCGGTTTCAGGTTTTCAGGTTCTCTTTTTGAGGGGTGTGGGGTTAGGGTTTAGGGTTTAGGGTTTAGGGTTTAGGATGTAGGGTTTAGGGTTTAGGATTAGGGTTTAGGATTTAGGGTTTAGGGTTTAGGGTAATGATAACGGGGAGCATTGGGGGGGTGTAATTCTCGCAGATCCCAGGTCAGGCCGGACTGGACTATGGATAATCGCTGGTTTTGCTGTCACAAGAGCCTAAACCCTACATGCAATTTCTTCTCTGGCCCACGTGACTTGATGACTGGCTGCTCGAATGTCAAAAACATTTCTAAGGGCTGGGGGTTTAGGATTTCCTCTGTTGATACCGCTTGTAGATCGCTTCACAAGATAATGTAGCGGCCTGAATAATTAGAATAGGCTTTTCGGAAATATTATACTGTAATTATATTAAGGAGCCCTCAAAATACTATGTAATTATTCAGGCTTCTATACTAATTGCCAACTTCCAGTGATTGCAACAACCCCGGCCTGATCTTTCTGCCTCACCTTCGTCTTGCTTGACTCAAAGTCCGACTAGAAAACCTCCAACTGCACCCTGTGTTCACCCCCTTTTTCCAACCCCATGATAAGCCCATAAAGCCTGAACCCTAAAAAACCCTAAGCCCTACACCCCAAGACCCTCCGCCCTAAACCCTAAACCCAAAGTGGCAGCTCCGTCCTCCGCAGAAGACATTTGACCCCCTAGCAGGGACTTCACGTCCTCAGCCGGGTAGCCTTGAGCTGAACCCTAGTTTTAAGGCTTCGGGTTTTGGGTTTAGGGGGTACCTGAAATTCTCCAGGACAGGAGTACTCACTCACTTTGGCGAAAAGTCATGCGAGCCATTGCATAATACTGGCTGGACCCGTAGCAGGGACATGTTCTGTGCTCGTATCCTGTCTAGTAAAAGTACTAGGCTTGTTAGCATTAGTGCTTTTTGTTTACGGGCAGCGGACCGCTGGATTCCACCACCACCGTCGTGCATGCATCGTCATCATTGCGGACTTGCGGTAGTGGTGTTGGGGGTGTGGTGATACAGGTAATATGATTTTAGCCTAATATAGGGGCCTTAGTAATTAGAATAGGGTTTTGGGGGTCCATTATACTATAGTTATAAGAAGGAGCCCCAAAATAGTATAGGTAATTATTTAGGCCCCTGCATTATGCATGGCTTTGGTTGGATGTTGCCCTGCTCACGACCTAGGACCAAAGTGCAATCTCCTCGTGAGGGCCGGCAGTCCGTAAGCAGCCAGGCCCCAAGCCCTTAACATGAAGTCCTTAAACTCCTCAACGCCTAAGCCCCTAGAACCCAAGCTTATTTCCCCAACACCGAAGTACGAAAGCCCTAAAACTTAAACCCAAGGTTTAACGCCTGACCCTACTATTAGGCACTCATAGCCAAAATGGTGGTATGCTATCGTACAAGTCTACTCTGGAATCCTAAGGGCCAAAACCGCCGAATGTGTTTCACCCCTACATAAAACGCCCAAGCCCTAAACCCTAAACCCTAAACCCTAAACCCTAAACCCTAAACCCTAAACCCAAAGCCCTGCGACGGAGGCATTTGCGGCCATGACCGTTGAGGCTCAGGATCAGAATTTCAGCAAGACCCTCCCAAGGCGGCCCAGCGGCGGCTGAGACCGTAGAGGGTATCTCCTCATCTCGGGGGTGTAGGATGGTTTAGGGGTTTGGGGGTTTTGATTGGTGTGGGGCTTTGGGGGTTCTGGGGTGAGTTAAGGCGCGGGGGTCATTCAGAGCACCCATATGTTGTGATCCCGGAAAAGGTTCCGTGGGGCGTTCTTCCTAAGTCCGAAAGCCATGCCTAGGCCCAGGCCACAGGGTTGAGGGCTCAGAGGGTTTGATGTGAGCTGCAGAGAACTTTTGATCTGAACTTTCATATGATATGATTGTTGAGTCTGCTGTCAAAGACTCCACGTCTGTCAGAACCACCTAAACCTGCCTCCGCGTACGTCGGCCTGCTACATCCGAACTGCCCAAAGTCGATGCCGTGAGTTATGTTGAGCCCAGGGTCATGGCTACAGGGTGTAGCGGCTTGAAGCCTACACCCTCTTACCTGTAGGGGTTCTATAAGGTTATGATGTGGGGTTTTGGGCTTGGGCCTTAAGATTTGAGGTGCATCCTGAGTCGAGAGGTGGGGCTCTGAGCGAGTACTCATACAAGGGTTTAGGGTTCAGGGTTCA